TGGGCCCATACAGATGATGAGAGCTATGGCACATGAAAATCTCGGAATCGAGCAGCTTTATGGCCCTAAAACCCCAAAAAGTAGAACGGTCGTGGCGAGGCGATGACTATAGTTCAATAGGTCATTTTTATAGGCCCAAAAATATTTTAGGCGATTCGGGATTGGTCGCTCGAATTCATGAAGACGACGTGGACATCAGCATACCAAAATATCAAAATCGTGCTGAATTCCTATTTTATGCCCTAAAATGCCAAAAAAATAAGAAACGATCATATGCAAGGTAATCGGCCATAATTCATTCGGTCGTTTTCTCATGGGTCAACAAAATTTCTGGCGTTTCGGACCGGTCACCCAAATTGATGAAATTGCATGGACATTAGCACACGAAATCTAAAATCATGTTGTGAATTCCTGTTTTATGACCCTAAGGAACAGTCATATCGAGAAAATGGCCTATGGTTTATTAGGTCGTTCCTGATAGATCAGCAAATTTTAGGCGATTCGGAGCCGGTCACACGATATTAATGAAGATGGCGTGAATATGTAGCACACGAAAAATCGGAAATGGTACTGAATTCCCGTTTTAGGGCCCTAAAACACCAAAAAAAAAAAAGAATGGCCATGGAGAAAGCAATGCTATATTTCGTTTCGGTGTTTTCTAATGGGCCCATAAAATTATAGGTGAATCGGGGTTGGTCGCATCGAATTCATGAAGATTGCACATGGACATTTAGCATTGAAATTCAACAATCGCGCTGAATTCTTTTTTTTATGGCCCATAAATGCCAAAAAGATGTAACGATCATAGCGATTCAGATGACTATGGCTTCATTAGCTCGTTTCTGATGGGCCCACAAATTTAGGTGATTCGGTACTGGTCGCTCCGAATTCATGAAGAGGTTATGGGCATTAGCACACCAAATACAAAATCGAGTTGGAATTCCTGTTTTACGGCTCTAAAAATACCAAAAAACGAGAAGAAACGGTCAATTGGTGACGGCTAATAACTATAGTTTATTAGTTATGTTCTGATGGGTCCATAAATTTAGGCATTTATGGTCGGTCTCCCGATTCTATGAAGGATTAGCATGGTACTAGCACATGAAAAATTTGAAATTATGCTGAAGTCCTATTTTATGGGCCCTAAAACGCCAAAAACGAGGAAACGGTCATAGCAAATAATAAATGACAATCGATTCATTAGATCATTTTTGATGACCCACAAAAGTTTTAAGCAATTCGGATGTCGGATCGGCCCGAATTTCATGAAGATCTGTGGGCATTAGCACACGATAAATCAAAATCGTGCTGAATTCCTGTTTTTACAGTCCTAAAACCGCCAAAAAATAGAACGGTCCATGGTGGGCATACTATACTTAGTGAGGTCATTTTATGGTGGGACCCCACAAAATTTTGGGCATTCGGGGACCAGTCGTCCGAATTCATAAAGGTGGCATGGGTATTAGTACATGAAAAAATTGAAATCGTTGAATTCCTGTTTTATGGACCTAAAATACAAAAAAATGAGACCACAATCATAGCGAAGCAAATGACTATGTGTTCCTTAGCTCGTTTTTGATGACCCTACGTAATTTTAGGCGATTCGTGTATCCGTCTTTTCGCACTTAATGAACATGGCGCGGGCATAGCACACCAAAAAATTGGAAATCGTGCTGAATTCTTGTTTTACAGCCCTAAAACGCTAAAAAAATGAGGAATAGTCATTGCGAGGGTAATGACTATGGTTTATTAAGGTCGTTTCTGATGGGCCACAAAAATTTTAGTCATTTTTGGGGCTAATCGTCCGAATTCATTAAGATGACGTGGATATTAGCACACGAAAATCGAAAATCGTTTGAATTTTTGTTTTATGCCTTAAAATGCCAAAAATGAGGAACGGTCACAGCGAAGCAATGGTATGGTTCATAGATCGTTTCTGATGGTCACATAAAATTTTAGGCGTTTCGGGGCCGATAGCCGAATTCATAATAGATGGATGCAGATATTAATTTAGACACAAAAAATCAGAAAATCATGCAAAATTACGTTTGTGGCCCTGAAATGCCAAAAAAAACAAGGAACATCATGGCGAAGTAATGGACTATGGTGCATAAGCTCGTTTCTGCTGGGCCATAAAATTTTAGGTCGTTTTGGAGCTGGTCGCCCAAATTCTTGAACATGGCGTTGACATTAGCACACGAAAAATCGAAAAATCTGTTTGAATTCCTGTTTCATGGCCCTAAAGCGCCAAAAATGAGGAACAATCATGGCAAGCAATGACTATAGTTTTATATTTGGTCATTCGAATGGGCCTACAAAATTTGAGGCGATTTTGGACCGGTCGTCCGAATAATGAAGATGGCGTTGATATTAGCATATGAAAAATTGGAAATCATACTGAAGTTTTGTTTTATGACCCTAACCGCCGAAAAGAGGAACGATCATGGCAAGCCAATGACTATGATTCATTAGGTCGTTTCTGATCGTAAAGAGCTTCAAATCAATACTCTGTATTCTTTAGCCACCAATCTAGCCTTCAATCCTTTAACTTCTCCAACAACTTCTTGTTGATTTTAATATATTCACATGTAGCACTTAAAATCGATGGATACTCGTAAATATTACAAACCGTTCTCACAACAATAGAAACCCAGAAGGAAAACGAAATGATCTTATCTTTGAAAATTTCATAGATACCTGTATAAAACGTTTATAATATTTCTAAAGAAGTCCAATTATCATTAGACAATATATAGTTTAAAAAGAATAAGAATTCAAAAATCCATTTGTCTTGAATTAGCTTTCCCAATGAACGCTTGACGAACGCCGTTTCTTTCTTCTTGGTTGCATTTCAAAAGGAAACTTTGGTGTTTTTTCACCATATTGTATGGCCTAGCTGTGATCAATCTTCATTCACAGAATGGAAATCAAGAAATTAATAGAAAAATGATAGTGTTATTAAAAACATAAAAAAAACTTGTGAAAGATATTCTCTCCCTCTTTAAATTTGGCTCTCTTATTTTTCTCATTGAGGGTTTGATATGACAAGTATCTAATTTTTCCCAAGAAAATTAGTGAGCGTTTGGACATAAGATCGTAAAATTTCAAAAAAAGTGAATTTTTTTTTCAAGTCAAAATGGTATTTAAAATTAGAGTTGTTTTTGGATATGAATATAATTTTGGGTCCCTTTTTTGAATTTTTATGAGTGATTGGAGTGAAAATTTTGAAAAATAGTCTTTTGGAGCTTTTTCAAATTTTCGAAAAATTTCAAATTTCATCTTTAAGGTGCAAATTGAAAATTTTATTGCCAAACACTGATTTTCGGAAAAAAAGTGAACACAATTTCAAAAAAAAGTGAAAAATTTTCATGGCCATGAGAATTTTATATTATTATTATTATTATAGAAATTAACATTAAATTTATTGTACCTATGCTTTCTCTTCTCCAAAAATCGGGCAAGGGTTGCTCTACGAGCCATAGCCAGTGCTGCAAATACAAAATTTAGATTTATTTAAATAATATAAAAATAGATAGTAATGAAATTTAAAATTTAAAAAAAAAAAAAAACCAAGAGCTGCTACCTCCTTTAGCATAATTTGTGGATGCATTTGGTGTTGAAGGCTCAGATTTATTTTCTTCATATTTTCTTTATTTGCCTTTTCTAAAATCTCAGTCATGTGGATGATCGTTGATTTAGAAGCCAAGTCCATTTATTAGTTCAGCCTATTATAATTCAAAAAAATGAGAATATTAAATTGTTATATATTACTAAAGTAACAAATTAAAACAGCTACACGAAAAGAAACAAAAATAAGAAATTCCAAGAACCTTTCTTGTGTGATATCCTGAAAAATATGGACCTCACCCATGTAGAATATGGTCAACGTTGACTCAGGTTTCCTCAAATGGTCAGAATTTTTCCTTGAAAAAAATAATATTTTATATAACAAAAAATAAATCATCACCATACTGTTTCTAAAATAGTATTTTGCTTCTTTTTTTTTTTTTTTTGTAATACAAATTCATACAATTATATTAAGAAATTATGAAAATACCTGGAATCTTTTGTGGTGAGTTTGTAGCTCTTTAGGGGGTGAACTTTTTGAATTACTGGAAACTATTGGGGAGGAGTTGTAATTCTGGAAAATAGAAGAAGAAAAATCTATTAAATTTAGTTTATGAGAATATTATTAATTAATAAATGAAGGAATTAGAAATTCAACAGGAAATTGTGAAGAACCTGAAAAAATCTGTTTCAGCTTGAGTAGCTAAGTTAGCCATAGATGAAAATGGCCACTTCATCCAGAAGCTAATGCCAAGCATAAAGAAGAAGAATAGTTAGTAATTTAGTAATATGAAAATGACAAAGAGAAAAATAGAGTTAGAGTCGCTTTTGTTAGGAAATGTTTTAACCCTCGATATGAAATATTTTTCGATGCAAATTTGGATATAATCGGACGCTAATGTGGGTACCTTAATAAAAGGGCAAAAAAGGGCAGCCCGGTGCACTAAGCTCCAGCTATGCGCAGGGTCCGGGGAAGGCCAGACCACAAGGGTCTATAGCACGCAGTCTTATCCTACATTTATCCAAGAGACTGTTTCCACGACTTGAAAACGTAATGTAATATAGCTTAATGTAATATAGCTTATATGATATTTATTATAACACATTCTGAACATATTATCTTTTTGCCTCTGGAGTCTATTCCCCATCTTTTCTTTTTATTTTTTTTTTGTTTATTTCTCATCCGGGGTCCCGTATATGTATTGAAATTCGATTATATTCGAATTTGCACCATGTAAGGCCCATTTAAGGGGGAGCGCTCTCTAACAGGATTCTTTCCATATCCAAGGCTCGATCCCGAGACCTCTAGTTAAGGATGGAGAAGTCCTATCCATCCCACCACAACCCATGTTGTTGGTCCTTCTTTTCTTCACTTACTCTCAGCCATGTTGATCCATGTTTACTCAATATCAGGGCGGCTCTAACCTTATCAGTAATAAGGCTTGTGCCTTAGGCCCCCAAATTAGGGCCTAATTTTAAAAAAATAATAGATTTTATAGGTATTTAAAAAAAATATATACTTTTAATACAGAAGTAGAGTTCTGCATATAAAAGGAATTTTTTTTTTTTTTTATAAATATATTAATAAAGTAACAATTTGACAATAACAACAGCCCAGTGTACCCCACAAGTGGGGACCGGAAAATAATTCGATTTACTCAAAAAATGGGTAGATGAATAATTTTTCCAACATTTCAATTTGAGTTGATTTGACAATTCTTTTTTACTCTTTTCTATATAGCGCGTAAAATTTTTACTTTCTCTTTTTAATTTGTCCAAGTCAATCTTTCTTCCCCAATCTCTTTATATTTCAGAACTTCCTACATATTTTCTGTCTTTCTCTTCGAATTCTTACTCACCTTCTTTTTTCAAGATTCCACTAGCTCAAGTGTTCAACAGTACTTTTAAGCTTTCACTAGTTCTATAGGCACTAAACTTATAATTATAGGTTTAGTGTGAATTAATCGGAGACCAAAAGGTTTTGTGTGAATTATCTAAACAGTTTAGATTTACTCTGACAACAGACTATTAATTATCACAAACGATGAATTTTACTTAAATTAGCAAAAAGAGAAGTTTCTTGATATAATACCTAAATATAACTACTAACTACAAGAAAAGCTCAATTCAATAAAGATTGTAACAAAGATAGGTCTGCTACTATTACTTAATTAACCCAAAAAACAACTCTTTTTGAATTGGAAAGGAACCAAAAAGAAAAGATTAATCACAAGGAATTAATGAAGTAAAATAAGTAATAAGAACTGAAGAATCAAACTAAAGATATTGTAAATACAAGATTTTTTTTATGAATATCTGAAAATAACAGAAGAAAATTAATAATAAAGGCTAGAGTAAAAGATTCAAGTACTGAAAATCAACTTAATTAACAAAGTTCACTTTCATATATTCTTTTTCAGCCAATTGAATTTACTCTCTTTGAGATCTACTTACAATAATAAACCCTAATAAATCTTGGCTCAAGACGTCCTATTATAATAACCTAAACTGATTTTATTTCTTAGTTTGACCATTTTTCCCAATTAATTACATTATTTCTTACTTCCAAAATCAAATCCAAATCAGTCTACAAAATTTCTTTTTTCAGGAACTCAGAAAGAGTTTTCTTTTTTTATTTCTGTACTGATAAATATATGAGAAAAAATTTGCTTTTTACTTTGGTTTGTTGCTTCGCCATTTCTGATTGAGGTCTGCTGTTGAGTCCATGAAATCTATCTCAATAATACTTGAATCCATTTTTTCACTTTCTCAAAGATTTAGGATTACAAAAATAGAAATCAAGAATTGGATATAAATAAGAAAATATATTCTGATTAAACTCTTAAGAAAGAACCAAAAGAGGAAAGTACGACTATCAGATAAGAATGAGTATAAGTGTCTTGATGAGCTCCATGCAATAAGAGACTACAAATTGATGGAACATTATAAGCAGAAGAAAACAGCGATTAAAATCTATAAATTTAGACAGAAAAAAAAACGTGCTGATTGGTAGCCACAACACAACTTGTGGCTACGTTGAGTACCGCATTGAAGTCCGATTAATTAAGATTTACGGCGGATAAGGCTCATTAAAAGAGGAAGCGTTTTCTTTCAGGAGACGATATTTTTTTAAAAAAATAACGTTGTATAACCGCTCTAAATATAATAACCGATTTTTTTTTTGTTATAAATATACTATGCTACGGTTCTACACTTTGCGGCTACCGAATATAGATAGTTTTGGCCGTAGGGTAAACGTGATCTTTGCCTTATTTTTTTCGTTCCCAAGCTTTAAAATTCGAGACCTCCAATTATGGTGGAGACAGAGGCATATGTAATGTATAAGCTATTGGCTCAACTGAACCCATAGCTTTCGGTCAACCTTATATTTTTGCCTAAAAAATCATTAAATATATACAAATAATAAATTTTGAACACATAAAATTTAAATTCTGAATCCGCCTGTGGGCGAAGATATTGTATCTATCCCACCAAATCCTTAGGTGATGTTTTGTTGATTTTATTTTGTACTTCTTCTTTATCTTTTCTTCTTTTTTTGACGTGTTAATCTAAAATATAAAATGATTGTTTTATTTTGCCGAGTAATGTCGACGCATTGCTTTCATCTTACAGAAATGTTTTAAAACGAGGGTACGTCTCATTCAAATTATAAATGTCTATATATCCATCCCAAAGGTCGCATTTACTATATTGTGATTTTTTTCCTTTTTCTTTTTTATGAAGTAAAAATTACTATAATCACGCGTTAGATAAGGGGAGGATGATTATAAGTTGTATAATTATCTTTTTCGAATATCACTAAACAGTATGGTGATAAGATAAATTTATTTTCGAGATGGATTCGAGTCATGGAAATAGTTCTCCTCGCTAGCAAATGGTACAATCCTACAGCCAAGCATTTAAATGTGTGAATTCAAATTAATCGAATCAGTAAATTTCAAAAGATTTGATATTTAAAAGACAAAGTTCTCTCCTGACATTTAAAAAAAAAAATATAAGATTATTTAGTATTTTTCGCCAAAGTTTTGATTAAATTTTGTAAAAGGTCTTCTTTTCAATGTAAGCTTTTTATTAGTTTATAACATTATTTTGTTGGTCCATTTTTTTATTTAATAGAAAGCGCCAAAATATCCTTAAACTATTTAAAATAGCTCAAAAATACTCTTTATTAATTTTTGGTACAAAAAAAATCTCTGCCGTCTACGTTTAACGAAAGATATTTTAAAGCTATTTCGAATAATTTAAGAGTATTTTTGACCTTTTCCGTTTGTTTAAATATAACTGAAGCGTCAAAGTCGACAATCAAGATATTTAGGTCCTATGTGTACTAAAAGGACGTGGCCCTTTTATAGCCTTATTCAGTATGGTGAGAAACGGCTAGTCTTTTATTCATGCTTATCATATTTTCCTCGGCCTAAGATACCTATTTCGTCTTCCAAATTACGTGAACCTAATTGACTAAAACACAAAATTTAAAAAAGAAATATTTCTTTATTAAAAAAAATATAATTCTAAAATAATCTAAAGACAGTTAAGTTTTATAAATAACTAAAGATAAATTATATTATTTTATTTAATAAGATAAATTCTTTTTTTTTTACAAATAAACTAAAGAAAATAAGTTCACATAAATTAAAATAGAAGGAGTATATTTTAGATAATATCAATTGTAAAAATAATAGTCTCTGAATTTTTATTTGTAACTAGTAATATAAGGTTTGATCCTTTCTTTTTTGAGATATTATTAATAAAAATCACATAAATTCAATCTGAGTGGTTTCTTTAAAAGGTATTTATGCAGATAGCCAATCGAATTTAGTGTTTACTTTTTCCAATTGATATGTATAGAATATACATAAATTGCATACAGTTATATGCATATTGTACATCAGTTATATATATAATATTGGCTATTTTTAATTTTAATGATTGAATGAGTGATTATTTAAATTAATCCTTCTATTTGATTTGATTATATATACTAATTTTTTTGGGTGGTTAATTAAGTAACAGGATCACTATGTACTTAAGTCTTTATGTCATTAAGTTCTTTTAGATTTTATTCATTTTGTTCCCTTTTTGACTTGTGCTGTCTAGTTGTGCACCACCAATTAATGTGTAGTGTGACAGCCGAAATAAACTTATATTAGTGGCCCCTCTTAAGTAAACACGTTAATTTTAAAGAGGTTTCAATTATATAGATGTTTGAATAAACACGTTGTATAAACTTTTCTAATTAGTCCAGTTCCATTACCAAAAATAAATAAATTAACCAGATGAATGAATACAGTCATATTTCTCTATAATAACATCCTTATATAACAACCATTCACTATAAAATCAAAATTTTCTTTAAACCGATTGTTATATGTATACTATAATATATGTTTTTCTATATAAGCACTTCACTATCAACAAAAAAAATATCAAAACAAACGAGACTGTCATAAAAAATATTGGCCGTATATTTATTAAATTTGTCAACTTCTTTGACAAAGGAGAATTCAGGTTCTCCTTATGACAAATTGGTGCTCTGATAACTGAACTATAATGCTGGAAAAATCAAGCATATAACTTAAAGTTGATAGATT